GTCCCCGATCAGTTTCATGCATGCATAAGTACACTGAGTGTACCAAGAGAGGTACACCCCGCATAACTTCACTGTGGCTTTTGGGCTGGATCTTATCATGGGTCGTGAGGGTTAGGCCTGAATCTTTGGGCTTGTGAATTAGGGACTATGAGCAGAGAAATATTATAATTTTGCCATGGGCCCTTGTGTTGGGCTTACCATTTAGTTTTGAGAGTGGGCCTCGGGTGAGCCCATTTATTATTGGGCCTTGGTGGGGCCAGTGGGTTTTAGGCTTTTAATGGGCTGGTTAGTGGTCTTCCTTTAGACGTAATGAGTGAGAGTTTGGACTTAGTTTCTAAATGGGTTAATTGTGGTTTTGGCTCAGAGTTAGAGGTCGGTGCGTAGCAGCAACGTTATAGGGGCTATTCATCATCCCTGGTGAGTCTTCTTACTATACTTTACCTAGAGTGGTACTTATGTGTGACCGGAGGGTCTTATGTGTTTACATTGAGTATTACCTTATCCTACTTTATTTTGTATGCTACGCATTATGTCTTTGTAATTTTTGCTATGTGAGACTTTACAGACTAGGTCAGAGGGTCCAACGAACCGTGGAACTGGAGGGTCCCGCTGCGACATATTGACTGGAGGGTCTTACAAGTGATATAGCCTCAAGTGGCTGATGAGAAGTGTGTCTGGTATTGTGGGAAACTCACTAAGCTTCGTGTTTATAGTGTAATGTGTTATGTGTTTCAGGTTTTCTCAGAATCGCGGGAAGGTACCGGCTCGAATGTACACACTAGAGAAGGAGTTATGATTTGAGGATCCTGGATTATTATATATATATATATATATATATATATATATATATATATATATATATATGGTTAGGTTATAATGTGGATTGTAACTATTGTGCAGATGTAAGGATCCTTTGTGGTCCAAGCATTTTTCCTAAATTAAATTATATTTAAAATGGAAATTAGCAGATTTCAAGGGATAATTGATTTTTTTAATTTTAAAAATTATGATTGTTTTTTAGTTAATTCAAGTCGAACATATTTTTTTTAATCATAAGCGATCTGATTCTGATAGAATTATATTCGGACAGAATACATATTCTGATTGAATGAAAATTTTGAAAAATTACAAAATTTTGAACCATGAGTTGAAGAATAATAACAAAAATTACATTAATTCTTATAGAATATGGGTACAATTACTATGAATTACATGTATTGTTAAACAATAAAACTAAAAAAACTTTCAAATCGGGAAAGAAAACATCAAAATCTAACAAAGTCACTAATCCCCTCTAAAAGAATAATGTTGCTTAGAATCACTTTCAATTTTGTGGTCCGTTCTTCAGGCTTCAACTCGAGCTCAATACAAGGAATCTCGAATCAAGTCGAGCTCGAGCTCGAGCCTCATATAATTTAAACGAGCCCGAGTCGAGCTTGGCCAGGCTCGGGCTCGGCTCGGCTCGTTTGCACCCCTAATCATACTGTAGGGTTTTGGCGATGAAAATTCAAGTAGGTGGAAGAAAATTTGTTCCTTCTCTCTGTATTAAGGGCATCTCGCAGAATCCTTGCATAAACCTTTAAGCTAATTGATTATTCGCGTTTCGATCTCCATAACTCGGACACCGAATTTCACCCACTATGATTCCCATATTTGTGAATCCGTTCTTTTGTATGGCCCAGACGAGGGTATCGTAGTTGGCATTGAACATATTTGTGTAGGTGGTGCCTTTGTCGTTTACCAAAGTTGTGTTTCCGTCGAAGAACGTGTATTACATTGTACAATTGGAGTTGATGTAGAGGTTTACGAAGGGGGTAGATGTTGACAATGAATGGAGTTCCATTTTCATTTAGGAATTTGGTGAGTTGGATCATCTAATCTTGTAGAATCCTTCATCACACGTCGATTGAACGAGACTGGAGGGATACTGTGAATGTGGATGAAAGAGGCAATAAGGTTTTAAACAAAGTAATAGCATAAATTAAAGGATGGATGCTTTAATTATTTATTTATTAAAATTAAATAATATTTGGCCCATATTAATCCCTACATCCACACAATATTTGTTAATCCACATTTGAACCTACATATATATATATATATATACAGTTGTGTTTTGTAAATAAATTAAATGGAGTTTTCGTGAAATGTGATATGAGAATTATGTGGTTTTAAAAGAGAATTGTGCTTGAAAATTTACGGTGTTACAGCTATAAAATGCGGAAACATCAAACATATGGTGCCTGCCCAGCAATTATCTAATGCTCCCTTGTTGAAAACCATAGTACCTAAAACAAAAACTGAAAACCGTAAGCACAAAGCTTAGTGAGTTTCCCTAACATACGACATACAAAGCAAACATACCGCCGAGCACATCTAGGTGCTCGGCCTACCCTACCGGACATATATGGGTGTCCAACCTATCCTGTCGAGCATATCTGGGTGCTTGACCTACCCTACTGGGTATATATGGGTGCCCGACATACCTTGCTGATCTTATCTGGGTGCCCGACCTACCCTCTAGTCTATTTCAACCGGTCACAGGGTCTATTTTACACCCTACCACTAACACATAGTAACATACATAAATCACAAATTCATGCAGTAATACGTGAACAATGACAATCACATAGACAGTCATCGTACTATGTTATAACTAATGGGCCGACCTTGGTGCCTTCGACCTGTAAATTCCAAGAAAGGAGACTCACGTTGACAGCTGAACCCGAGAATAAATCTCTGATCGCTGATCCACTATAATCCCTGTGCGATCAAATAACTAACACCCAATTAGCAATTGGGTTCCAAACCAAATCCAATAATCTAAATATAGGGTAAAAGGACCATTTTACCCCTCACCTAGTTTGGTCCAAAACTAAGGCCCAAACTCACAACGCAAAGGTCCACAAAATAATCATTCAAAGCCCACTTATGGCCAGATTTTCCAAATTGGGCTCAAACCCTAACATGGTCCTCACCCAAAAGGCCGTTAACTTATCCCCATTCCTAACACTTGTCCATAGCTAGCCCGAAAACGTCCTAAGAAATCCTATTCTGAACGATAGCCCCAAACCCGAAATAACACCGAAAGGCCCACTAAGTCCCAAATATCCAATTGGGCCCAAACTCATCATCGGCCTATCCTGAAAAGGCCCAACATCCATTAAGGCCCAAAAGATCCAATGGTCCACCCTGGTCCACTTCTGATCAAAGGTCAACTGCCCAAAAAGCCCATAAAACAAGAAAGGTGAAACACACCGAGTACGCCCTGCGTACTCAGCTGGTATGCCCAGTGTACACCCTTTGGGGCCAGTACGTGCAACACACCAGATGGATACGCTCAACGTACTCCCCAGAGCCCCAATCTCTTCCACTAAGAACTTAATCACTTAAGTTCTTTCCCCAAACTCTCATATTTGTTTCCCATAGATAACTTATTACGTAAAGTTAGCAACTTTACTTGCATACACAGCTTAATGGGACCCTAGAGCTCAAAAGAGCCCAATGAAAGGTTTTAATACATGCATGAGTCCATAAAAACCATAAAGATCACATTTGTATGCCTTTGGGATACCTAAAACGTCCAGATCCACAAAATCAAACCTTTGAAACAATTATAGCTCACAAGAACCACCAAATGAGGCTAAAATGACTAAGAACAAACCTAAAAGAAGATCTAACCAAGGAGTAAGGAAGATTAAAGATTTTTAACTGTAATAGATTGCAAAAGATGCTAAACTTCTGGATCTACATGTTCCTTTCCAGGTGGTGACTCTTCAACAAGTTCCAAGCTCTTCACAGTGCAAAAATACTCCAAGATCCTTCACAATGGTTAATAAGATCCAAGATACAGGCTAAGGGTCGATTTCTAGGGTTTAGGAGGCTTAGAGGGTAATAAAAGATGAGGTTCATGGAAGAAATGAGGTTTAAATAGGATCAAGGGTCAAAATTTAGGGTTTCATAGCTGAAAGGAGTACGCCCCGCGTACCCCTTGGTAGGCCCGATGTACTTGAAGACCACCCACGACTATTTTACTCTGTACCCCTACGTACATATCTAGTACGCCCGGCGTACTAGATGCCCCTCCAAAACACTCAATCTTCATTTGGCCATAACTCCTTTGTCCCATATTTGTTTCTAACGAACTTTATATCCACAAAAAGGTCACGAGAAGCTCTACGCTTCTAGCAACTCACCATTTCCTTAAAACTTCCTGAACAAAAATCCAAAATTCATAACGCCCGAACTAGCAAATTGCGATCATGCCCTTGGCTCTGAAACACCATTGAACACTCGGATCACTTAAGTTGTAGCACTTGCATCCATAAAGGGCCAAATCCTTTCTTATCCAAGGCCCTAAGCCACATGATAACTGATGACTGGGCCACAACCCCGAATAATGAAGTAATATGAAACCGAGTGTTACAATTCCAATGCAAAGTCTTTATAGTTATCTTTCTTTTATTTGAATATTTTGGTTTCTTATTTTTTTTCTTGGTTTTTTATGCAACTTGTATAAATACCCTTTGAGGTATCAGTTTTGTTTTAACAAGAATTTATAGAACCTCTTTTCAGTTTCTTTATAAATTGCTCTTCAATCTTTTTTTTTTTTCTGTCTCTTGATCAAAGAAGAAAACCAGATAACAAATTGATAACTAGAAAAAAAATGTGCATCTCCTGAAATGTTGTCTCATCTTTCATTTTTTACCACTTCTTGATACAAAAGAAGTCCAGATGGTAAATCAGGCTGAAGAGGACACTCACCGGTTGGTAAAAGATCAAGGAAGGCGGTTGGAGACGACCACTGTCTTCGGAAGAGAGAAATGGCGAGACCAGAGGAGACGAAGACAAAGATGACCGATCATGCAACGAGAGCTTGAACAACTCTTCTTAAACGTATATCCCTGTTAGGTTTGGCATTTTATTGCTCAACAATATATAATACACAAAGTTACAAAAAGGTCCCTACACTATGCAAAGATAATAAAAAGAGACTAAATAAACACATATTTAACACCAAAAGTGGATGGTTGATCGCCTCCTTGTCTTGCGTCCAACAGATTTACTTGATATAGCAATATTATGTAGTTTAAATTGTCAAATTGTAAAGCAAAAAAACATGTTTTCCAATTCATGAGGTCCACTTCGAGAGTTTGCGGTATATATGATACGGATATTCATGAAATGGAAGAATGTAGCTAGGCCAAAGCAAATACTCTTAGCTATAATTAAGTTTCTTACAATAAATAGCTATCACTAGCTGCTGCTGCGAATTTCACTTTCTGACATGCTCGAATATAGTGCTCGTACTCCTTCAAGATTCTTAGCATCTTCGATTATGAATTTACCTCATTGCAGATTTGAAAACATGATTCTGCAATATGAACCAAGGACTTTTTCCCATGTTGGATAAATATATTATCAATCATTTGGAATTCATCGTCATTAGAGATTTGCTTCCCTGTTAGCACCTCCGCAAATACAACTGTAAAACCTGAGAGATTGCACTGTAGCTGAGAGACCTCTGACAAAATGAAATTTTGTCAGACGTATGTAATTGGATCACCACAAGCAAAAGAACACAGACTGGGGGACAATACAGGAGATAAGTTAAAGTAACTTACCGACCCAAGGAGCATAGTCACAACTTTCTAAATGTTTAGAAGGTTGAATACTTCGTGGATAGTAACCATGTTCCAACTTAGTAAAATCATAGCCTGAAAGCTTTGCTGTAAGATCCTGCAAATTTATATTTTGTTCATTGACATAAAACAAAGCAAAAGGTGTTAAAATTAATTGGAAAATTAGCTTAGCAGTGAAATATGTTAGTCATCTATTGTAGGTAAGGGCTCGGCGGCTTTGCTACAGTAGTTGAGACTTGCTCAAGATAACCAAGAATTATAAGTTCAAATGGATATTTCCCAATGACAGGTAGGATTTCTTGGGTATTCGTGAAATTTTATATTAGGAAGATAAATCGTAGCGTATCACCATTTAAGTCGTTGGTAAGGTAGTATAGCTCTAAAAAGGGTTAGAGGAGGGATATAAAGAGTTTGCAAATTGAGGCATTGATTGTTATTAGCTAAAAGGGACAAATAAGAGAATATATTAGTGTTTGGATTGTTGTATAAGAAATTCACTGGAAAGCATACAAGATCATCTAATTCCAATATGTATGATGAAAAAAAACCCATACATTACCTCATCAAGCAATATATTACGTCTGTTAAGACTAGACCGACCGATCATTCTTTCATCTTGTGTCTTGTGCAAGAAAACAATCCCTCTAGCGATTCCTACAGCTATTTTCACCTTTTTAGCCAACGAAAGTCGCGCTGCAGCTCCTACAACTCATAAAAATTGAATTAAATTAGAAGTCTTTTCAATTTAATTTATGTATGGAGTTATTTATGCTACTTACCGTGATACAGGAGTTCATGAAAGTTTTCATTAAGCCTAAACTCATACACAAGGAACCCCTGTTTGTCTGATTGGCTTGACAAGCAATATCCTATGAGCTTTTCAAGATTGGGATGGCTGAATTCTTTAAAATTAGGCTGCATTTAAAAGTGATCACCTTTCACATATAAGAGATATATGTAATAGTACCAGTAAGATACAGTTATAAAGGGTAAAATACAAGATAGGGTACCGGCCATGCAGGTTTGTAAAAGTCAATTCTCTTAATTGCAACTGGCAATCCGGTTTTATCTTGTGAAAAGGAACATGTTGTTTCATCCATCCAGCATTTGTAAACCTTCAGATCCTTGCCATAATCAAGGAAGTTCGTAGCAAGAATCAATTCATGATAAGTGAAACATTTCAAATCTTTAACTAGAGATTCGCCATGCTGACTAGGCATTTCACTCTGACAGTTATCATTCTTGTTTGTTGAAGAGCGCTGATTTTCAATGGTCTTTGATGAATTTGTGCTAATTTGGTCTTGGAAAATGAACAAAAAATGTCAAAAGCCAAGAGAGTTAGAAACAATTTCCAAAAGGATTGGAGATGAAAAAAAAAGTTGGTGTATACCCATGGGAATCGTCATCAATTGCTTTCTTTATTTGACAAAAAAACATCGATCAACATAGACAAACGGAAGAATCATAAGGAATCCATAACGTTATCATTTTTACAAAATGGATTAGGGAGAGAAACTCCAGTAGAATTTTTAAACATGTGAAAAAGCATATGAAAGCCTAAATGTTGCATATAACTAGAAGATATATATTTGAAATTCCGAGAAAGCAAAAAAAAGGTTGCACAAGTTGAAGTTATAGGGTTACGTTCGGGCCAGTATTTGTTGAACACGACTCTTTTATATGGGAAACAACAAGACTTTTATTAAGACACTTAAGGAGAACTTACACTTTATGAGACTACTACACACTTTGCTTTCTTTGAGGCTTTCTTAGATGGTTTGGAGCAAATGAGCTCCATACCTATTTATAGGCCTCTTAGGAAGGTTCTAGATGCTAGCATACACTTACTACATACTAGATAACTCTAGAACTATCTAACATACTCTACATGCTTCCATATGTTTCTAGAACGTTCTACCATGTTCTGGAGAGGTCTAGGTTGCTCCAGTGTCTTCTAGAATGATCCATATCCTTCCAGGGTCTTCCATGTCGTTCTAGAGTATTCTAGACTCTTCCGGTATATTCCAGAGTCTTCCATAGTCTTCCATAATGTTCTAGAATCTTCTAGAGCATTCTAGAACAAGCTAAAGTCTTCTAAATAATATTTGTTTTATTGGGCTAGTGATGATCTTTAACACTCCCCCTCAACACTAGCCCTCATTCTTCGTACCATGTTAAGCTGACAGCGAAAACCTTCACATTTTCCAGTACTCAGCCCTTTGGTGAACAAGTCTGCTATTTGGTCATCGGTCTTGATCTGCCGCATCTCAATTTCTTCCATCAAGACTTTCTCTCTGATAAAGTGATAATGCACTTCCACATGCTTTGTTCTAGCATGAAATACTGGATTTTCTGCCAGCCGAATTGCAGATTGGTTGTCACAGTGAAGTGGTACTGCATAGTCAACTTTTTGATGTAAGTCCTCCATTAGGAGTACCAACCATGTACTTTCTTGAGCTGCTACGGCCGCTGCTTTGTACTCCGCTTCCGTGGTTGACAATGATACTGTTGGTTGTCTTTTACTACACCATGATATTGGTCCGACCCAAGCTTGAACACATACCCAGTGGTTGATCTTCGGGTATCATGGTCTCCTGCATAGTCAGCATCACAATATCCAACCAACTTGCAGTCTTCTCCTCTTTTATACAAGAGACCATAGTCAATTGTACCTTTGACATATCTCAAGATCCGTCGGCAGCATCCAAATGAGGTTTCTTCGGACTTTGCATGTATCGACTCATAACTCCAACTGCATAAGCAATGTCAGGCCGAGATAAAGTTAGGTAGATAAGACTACCTACTAGTTGTCGATACATCGTTCCATCATCCAACTCTTTTCCTTCATGAGCACATATCTTGGAATTTGGCTCTATTGGTGTTGATATTGGCTTACACTCCAACATGCCAAACTTTTGAAGTATATCTCTTGTATACTTTTGTTGGCAGAGGAACAACCCTTCCTTTGTACGATCAACTTCTAACCCCAAGAAGTGTTTAAGCTCCCCCAGCTCTTTCATTTGGAATCGCACCGATAGATTTTCTCTTGTTTGATGGATTTCTCTTTCGTCATCCCCGGTGATGATCAAGTCATCCACATAAACCAACACAATTGCCAACTTCCCTTCTTTTTCTTTGACGAACAGGCTTGAGTCTGCATGTGCAACTGAATAACCACTTCGGGTAAGAAATTCAGCAATCTTACCATACCAGGCTCTTGGTGCCTGCTTCAATCCGTAAAGAGCTTTTCTCAACTTGCACACATGATTGGGATTAACTTCATCCTCAAATCCCTTTGGTTGGTTCATGTAGATCTCTCGGTCTAATTCTCCATGCAAGAAAGCATTCTTCACATCCATCTGCCATAATTTCCAGTCTTTACTAGCTGCAAGAGCTAACAACACCCGTACAGTAGTTATCTTCGCCACTGGACTAAATGTTTCATCATAGTCCAATCCATATTGTTGTGAGAACCCTCGAGCCACCAGACGAGCCTTGTATCTCTCAATTGATCCATCTGGGCGACACTTTATTTTATAAACCCACTTGCAGGAAATGGGTTTTAATCTCTTGGTCTTGGTACTAGTTCCCAAGTTTGATTCTGCTCTAAGGCTGTAACTTCTTCTTCCATCGCCTTCTGCCAAGCTTTATTCTTAACTGCTTCTTCATATGTCTCCGG